TTCACAACAGAGGAGTCAATATCAAAGTTTGCAAGTTTAACTAAAATCAGTGAGGGGCTTACTACGTCAAGAGCCTTGCTCAGGTCGCAGTAAACTACGTCAAACAGTCCTCTCTGAGAAATAGGTGGGCTATTTGCGTAATTAACTAGCGAGATTTGTGGCAGATGAGCGGCAGAGAGAGCGAGTTGATCCTGAATCTATGTGTTTTTTACGCTAACATAAAATATGTTGTGAAGAGCTAGTTCAAAGATCTTTGATGTGGCACGCAGTATAGAGAAATCGAGTGATGATTAGAGACATCAGTTTTGCAGTCCGTTAAGTAATAGAAAAACACGTACTGGTCTCCACAACTGCGAAATATAGAGGCGTTCAGACAGTTATTGAATACTGCAATCAGTACTGGGGCAAATATATTACCATACGTAATATGACCCAGTTGGCGAAAGACATGCCACCTGGGCACAGGATAAGGACGGTTTTAAGCGTCTAATGCATCAGCAAACGGGCGTTTCCTCCTGAGACAGACCACTATATGTGCTAATTGCCTTTTGCTGCTGCCCTATCTGAGTCCTTGAATCTGAGGCCTTATGAACGCATGAAAAATGATTGGCGAAACAGTCAGCAACAACATTCCCTTCGACACCGTCAGAGTACAGTAGCTTGAAGGGCTCCCCCCTTTTGCTTGACCGTTTGCGTACATACTTCCAAAACTCAGCTGGTCAGACAGAAACGTTTTTTTTTCAATAATGCAATATATGAACTGTGGTCCTGTTTATATAGGTATTTGGGAGTGGTCCTGTTTATATAGGGGTTTGAGTAAAGTTGGGAAAAAACCTGAACTCTTCCTTCCACTTGCTTGATGGATAACATTTGGCCTTCTCGTGTGCACGATCTTTGCGCTTCAGTGCACTTATAAATTTAGGGGAAAACCAATGAGGACAGGTTTATATGGCAAGAGAAACTTATGCATGCTACTTAACACAAGCTCTGCAAACTACTTAACTTGTTCATCAACATTTGGTTTGTCAGTAATGCCTGACAAGTAGTGATAAAAGCCCGTATAAACACCTCTATGAAGCCAATCTTGGAGCTAGGTTAAAAACTATACTGTAGCTCGTTGTTTCGGTACTAGAGATAATCTAATATTAAGTGTGGGTGGAATTCGTCAGGACGAACAGGTGAGATGCCGGAGCGTGCAACTTCAACGGGTTGATCGTTTGACATACAGAAGTCCTACACATGGTCTCTGCCACTCACAGCTGTGTTATGTTGCAGTAGGAAACTGAACGCCCAAGACACGAGTGCAGGCTGTACTTTTTCTCAATGAAGTGGTTATAATAAGAAAATGTAAGCGTGCTCCAGTCAATTTCAGGAGCATTGAAGTCACCAAGAATAATAGTTTTGTGTCCACCAAGAGACGGTGTCACATGTTCAATGAAAAAGATGACATCATGAAACGCGGCACGAGAAAGGCTTGGCGGTGAACAGAAACACTCATTCGACAATATTTCCTGGCGCTCAAGGCTGATTTCTAACCAGACCGCTTTTTCCAAAGCTCCCCGGTGTGTTTGTTTAATGGATTTTAGTGAGCTTTCAATGGCAACCAGCAGGCCACCGCATTTCTGTTTTATTGCTTTCAAAATCTCGGTCACTGTGGAAGGCGGTGAAATTTGGGGTAAAAAGTGGATAACAGATTTTCAGGGCCCAACCAAGTTTCAGAAATAGCAACTATAAGAAACGAAGAAAGAACGTTAGCGAAAAACTCGTTTGTCTTCGTGTGCAGACTACGAGAATTCTGGTAGAAAATGTTTACGTTACACGGCACTCTACGCTAGATTTACGTGATCATTTATTTAGCTGGTAATTTATTAGCAACAGTACTATCTCACGAACCACTGCGGTGCAATGCCTGCTATCCTGTTCGTACACTCTTCATCACGCCTGCGTTGTGAGTCGTGCCACAACAGAAAACTAAATTGGGCTCCCTATTTTAGTGCTTCGTTTGCGGGCGAAAGTGGTAAACACTATTACCCGGCTCCATGAAAGTATCGCTTTCAGCGAAAAGTGTTGGTGCAGCGTCCTTGCTTTTTTTTCGTCGACGGTAGCAATATTCTACAGCCAAAAATCACAGCATTTCCAAGGAGTGAATGATGATGAGTGGGGTGAAGCGTCCGTCAGCCCGTCCATGCTTCCGTCCGTTCATTCGTTCTTGCTTCCGTCCGCCCGCGCGGCCATCCGTTCGTCCATCCATGCGTCCGTCCATCCGTCTGTCAGTGCGTCCGTCCGTAAGTTCGTCCATCCGTCTGTCCGTCCGTTCGTGCGTCCATTCGTCCGTACGTTCGTGCGTTTGTCCATCCATCCGTCCGTCTGCTAGTTTGTCTGTCCATTCGTCCGTGCGTTCATCTAGTGGACACTCCAAGTACCGCCATCTCCCATCTCGAATCCCCTGTGGTACATATCCACTCTAGAGCGGGTATGTGTCATTGGTAGCTACCTACTACTACTAGTACCACTACTACATTCATCAGAGGATGGACAGATCCACGCCTTGAGGAGCTTCGCCCTTAAAATGAAAATAAAAAAACAGTCGTAAGAACTATAAAAAGGGAAACGACACCGGCACGTGATATCCCAGTTGCGCTGAACGAAATAACACCAGAACTCATACCATGAATCCACGATGAGGGCTTGCACTGCTGGCGGAGAAGACCGATATTGACGAGAGACGATATTGCAGCATCCAGGGCGTTCACACCTTCCCATGGGTAGGCTGCCGCGTGGGCAGGCTTGCCCTTGAAACGCACTTCAAGCTGCAAGAAGGTGAACGTCATATGTGGTTAGATTAACACTACACGAGTGGTTTATGTTCAAAGGGGTACATCTTGGGCCAGTCAGTGTTCTATATATGAACAGACGTGCAGTGCACATGGAAGCAAGCAGTTGTGAACATCATTACGCTCTGTCCTATGTTTCGCTACAGCACTCATGTAAGCACGACCTGACCGTGCTTACATGCATACTACCAAGCGTTTTGATCGAAAGGCCGTGGACGCCCATCTCGCAGTAGAGATCACATGCATCCTACGACTGCTTCGTAGCCTTTTCAGGACCTTCACCATTGGTAACCCGAATCGTATGGGCGATTTAGAGGGGAAATGTACGGCGCAGAGAATTCGCGAAAAATTCGACAGATCCCACGTACCTGGGAATCGACTTCATGCGAAGCGTGCGGAGGCGAGGTGACCGTGTTGGAATTTTCGTATTGGGTGACACGTCAAGAAATGAGGCTATATAAATGTGCAAATGTTGCACGCCATGACATATGTTCAAGAGTTGCAGATGTTTATATAACCAGTTGTTTGCACTTACGCAACGATGCCAACTGGAAAATGCGTATTAGTGACACGATAAGCTGATATTAAATGCTAATGCTCGCGAAGATGCTGGCCCTGGACACTACTACATGAGTCAACTTCAGCGCACGGCAACTAACCACAATTGACGTTAACCCGACGAGACGGCTGTACCAACGGAGTGCATATGTAATGTTTATAAAATTGGGTAGGCAGCACTGCAACCGCTATTCACGTTTCACGATAATTAGGGTCTATTTGAAAAAAAGATCTGAGACTAGGCGTAGTAGCTCTGTAGTAAAATGCTTGATTGTCACGCAGAATGTTTAGATGCGTTTGCTGCGGGGACGGTAACATTTATTAATTGCACTCGTCGGGTCAACGCTACCGATGTCGGGTGTTTCTTAACGCTCACGCGTAAACATTGCCCATGTGTGTTCTCGTCGATCATTGGTAGATACTAAGTGTCAATCACCCGTGGAACATACCCGCATACCAGCGGCACATGATTTGTGCCGCTCATCAGCTATAGAGAAAAAATGTACTACATATGGATGCTTTTTCCTGGCTGTTTAAAGTTCTCAATGAATAATCTACACTTTTTTGCCTCTCTTTTTCCTTTCCACTCATAAGAAGTGGCGCTGCATTCCACCCGAGACGAAATCGCGCCGCTTGGCAACCCTAAAATTAAGCACCACGCTGTCGAATCTCTGGCGAGGAAAACAAAATCGCATGCTGCTTCTATATACTTGGCTTAATTGCACGCTTAAGCTCACCGCTTGCGACGCTGAGAAAAGAGGCGTTACGATATCGGCGGGAGACGGGTGCGCCATTATGGCCACTTTGATGCCCTCGAGCGCACCATGGTCAATGAGCAGCTGCTTGCCGGCTTTGCCCTCTTCGCCTGGAGTGCCTAGGACCACCAGCTGCGAAGAGGACAGAGGAAAGACGAATCGTTGGCGGGAAATGAACAGAAATTAAGACAGCAAGAATGTTTCACTGTACAGTTTTGGCTAACACCCAGGCATGGAATATTGTAGATACACAAAACACCACAGGGTTCATCACGCATTCACCGAGGACAACTCGAAGGTGAAAGCATCCTATTTAGCAGTCGATATATTCGGCTTCTCTGGCAAGAATGATGTATATATCGAAAGTGTCTGAAGAGCCTCCACTTTTGAACGCGTTGAAAGCTTGTTGCAGCTCTCCTGCTTTTGAAATGCCTCCGCAACCCATTACCGTTTGTACAAGTGACGATTCCATGCAATTACTTCATGTGACTTCATAATGATATTATAAATTTTGCCTTTCATTGAGGTGATAACGGCATCATATTGCCGCTCATGCTGTCGCCGGTGCTGAATTTTTGCGTATGAAGAGGCAACTAACAATAAGAACAAAATAGCGGTGAAGCACAATCAGCAAGCATTCTAAAATCATGAATTGTAGAGTGCCACTCTCCTTCGAAATGATGGTAGAAACAGCTGCATCTTGCCTGCGGTACTTACCTACGGAGCAGAAACCTGAAGGCTTACCAAGAGGGTTCAGCTTAAGCTGAAGACTACGCTGCGACCGATGGAAAGGAAAATGATAAGTGTAGTCTTAAGAAACAAGAAGACTGGGACAGGGAACAAAATGGGGTTAAGGATATCTTAGCTGCAATCAACAATAAGAAATGGACATGGGCGGGGCACGTAGCAGGTAGGCAGGATAACCTCTGGTCATTAAGGGTAACTGACTCGATTCTGAGAGAAGGCAGACGCCCGAAGGGGAGACAGTAAGTTGGGCGGGCAGATGAGATTAGTAACTTTGCGGGTATAAAGTGGCAGCAGCAAGCACAGGATGACTGGCGGGACATGGGAGATGCCTTTGTCCTGCAGTTGACATAGTCAGACTGATGATGATGAAAGCAACCAAGGCGTTCGCATTCATAAAGAAATGAAACGTTTGATTATCTTCAATATTCGCTTGGACGGAATAACAAAACCTACAGCTGCGTGGAAGCAGTTGAAGTGGATTATTGCCGAGTGCCCGTCGGGGTAGATTAGGGATCAGCAAGAACTTTAGACGGAGCGCCAGTTTGTACGAAGTCTACTCAGTGGGAGCCAGAGGCAAATTGCGTAAAATTTGGAGGGGGGGGAGGTGTTTAAAGAGAAAGAAAAAAAAAGACTCATACTCTAGAAACGTGGAAAAGACATCCCACTTATTTTCTGCACGCATGTGACAGTGTTCCGTTGTACAAACTTAGGTTACAAGTTCATACCCAATTTGAGGTCAAAAATGCCATGTTGGCCTTCAGGACGTGAGTAGGAGAGAAGAGGTGTTCTGGCGCCGTGCCAGGAACCACATAACACTGCCTGGCGGACTACATGTTTCCCGCGGGCCATGCGTTGCGCACACCTAGCGTATTATTATTGCTCATTTTTTGCACAAAACTACGTACGAGCGTCGGAAAACTCACTGCTAAAGTTTGTTTTGATTACAGCGACGGCACACGAAACTCTCTCAGAAAATGAACGAGGGGTCGGCTGGCAACGGCGTTACACGGCCGATCCCTAATAGGCGCGGCAACAACCGGTGAGACCGGTACACACCCCAATCACTGATTAGAACTGTAATGAAGAATAACATTATTTTTCCATTTGAAATAATAGCGGCCGTTTCAAAATTAATTTTTTGCGTCTTTGTTTTTATTGTATCAATTATTTGTCAACTTGTCGCACTTGAATTGCTGCCTACTTCAGTGAGAAACAAATTGACATCATAGAGCGTCAAATAATGCCGCTGGTAGAAGCCTACAAAAACTTTGCATAAATAAATAAACCAATCGAAAGGAAATACCCTTTAAAGCATGCCATGTTAATCCTGTTAGCATTAGCACTGCCTTACCTGGTCACTATGGGTGATAGTCGTAATGCGGTGACTATGGTCTATACGATGTGTATTAGTAGGAATTCACCTTTCCACGAAAGTCCTCGGATGTCTGCATCACCTCCTGCACGGCGAGAGCGGCGCCGATGGACGCCTCGGCGATGAGGTTGTGCCCGCAGCCGTGACCGATTTCTGGGAGGGCGTCGTACTCGCAGAGCAGAGCTACGCACGGCCCTGTAAAACGTTTGAAACGCAGCAAATATGCGAATAGTCAGATGATGAGTGAGTGAGTGAGTGAGTGAGTGAGTGAGTGAGTGAGTGAGCGAGTGAGAACAACTTTATTATGGTCCAGTGCAGACGCTGAGGTTGCCACGCGTCACCCGGCTACTCCCACGTGGGGACCGACGGGTCTAGCCTGACGGCCCTGTCGCGGGCACACTGGACGGCCAGGATTTGGTCATGAAGTTCTGGGCTGTGCAGAAGCGCATCCCACTCGGGTTTGCTATAATTCAGTCCAAGCGACCTGCACTCCCAGAGCATGTGTGCTAACGTAGCGGTCTGCCCGCAAGCGGCGCAAGCGGCATCGGGGAATTTGTGAGGATAAATTGCATTTAGGTATGCTAACGACGGGTACGAATGGGTTTGAAGTAAGCGCAACGAGACGGCCTGTGCTCTATTGAGTTTTGAATGTGGCATCGGGAATGCCCGCCTCGCATGTAGTAATACTTGGTAATCTCGTTGTGTGTAGTAGGTGTGTCTTATGTCCCCACGTCGTCGGCACTGGAGCCGTCGCCAAGGTCGAGAGCAGCGCGGTCAGTGAGTGCGCGCGCTGCTGTGTGGGCCGACTCATTCGGGTTCAGTGCAACGCCGTTTACGGAGCCGACATGCGCGGGGAACCAATGTATGGTGTGAGGGACAATCGTATCGCTGGTGGAGCTGTTCAAGATCCTGGGTGCCTGTGTTGGTATGCGACCCTTTTAAAAGGCTCTGTCAGATGATTCGACTTAGAAGAAATTAGTCTGTTCACGAGAAAGCGATTAGACTTCGAGGCTGTGGCAAATGGGCGGGTCTTGTCGCAGTGTATTAGTCAGAAAACACAAGCGTTTTTCGTCGAATATATATTCAAAACCGTAATTGGTATGAACCTGCCCTCAATCGAGTTCCGGTGCAAATTTATTTCTTTGACACGAACGTGTTTTCTGCTGCCGTCAATCAAGAACTCACAGGTATCATTCACAGAAAGAGGTCACCAACATTACACAGAAGCTGCGTGACATATCTTCATTCATTTGCTGTTTAATGAATCGGTCTCTCAATTCCCTACTGCTTCCACATCCTCTTTGCTGGCTTCCACTTTACTGCTTAAAGAAGTATCCCTCAAGAGTACCCCTTAAAGAAGCCTGATCAAGAATGATCGCCGGAATGGTGGACATAGTGTGCATCTTTCCCGGTTACCTGAAGAAAGAGCCACAGGCCCAAGAAGATGCGCTGCTTCGCGTGCGTCGGAAAATTAGGCGATTGTCGAAGCTGCGAAGGATATTCTATCAATTGAGATTACAAAAAGGGGGCGCTCGGTACACTGCCGATATATGTGAAAGCGGATATCTACTTTTTTTAAAGGAAGAGGTGTCTCTCTTAGATTGAACGATCCTCTTCCAGAAAGAGAGATGACGCTACGCCCATATAGTCTAACACTGAGAACTCTCTGGCTCTCGCATGATGGTACAGATACAGGTGCAGCATATATGTTTATGCCAAGAAAACGCAAAGGTGCTCGTTCAATTGAATCTAGATGCACCGGCCATGACCACCATGTAGTAAAAACTTTCCCGTGGGGACCTACCGAATGGCAACAAGTATTCGTGCCATTTGTATATTTTTCCTATTATAGTAGCAGCGCTGAATAATTTGCTTTTCGGAAAAAAGCGGCTATAACTCGTTGCTTCGTTTTCCTGATTCTGCGCTTGCATATGAATACAATACATTGTGGCATTGCTGAAACTCAGCTCTGCGAGCCGCACGAAGCTTAGCTGATTAGTTTTGAATCTCTGTGAGAACAGTTCAACTGGTCGTACTAGAGATAGATGGGTTTGTTTGAAGACGTTCAAGAAGCAACCATATCTTTGTATGCGGTCGTATTTTTCTTTGATTCACCTCACCTCGTTTGCCTACACACTTCACTTCAAGGAGCCATGCAACACTTTATAGTAGCCATAGAATGGGTTAATTCAATTAAAATATTGCCACACAAATAGACCACTGCAAAAAGCTTTAGAATATGTCCAGTAAGAGCGGAGTTACAAAAATTTCTCACACGCTCCAATTGCATTCTCTCTTCTCTCGTCCAGGAAAGCACTGGAAGCTAAGGAGTAAGAGATAGCACGGGAAAAAAAAACTAATCCATGCATGACTGGTGACCTTGAGCACTTTCTCTCTCTCTCTCTCTCTCTCTCTCTCTATATATATATATATATATATATATATATATATAATATAGTCAAGTAGATCCTCCATGAGCGGTTACAACGTGGTTTATTTCGACGTTTCGGCCTAGAGTCTGGCCTTCATCAGGATCCTGATGAAGGCCAGACTCTATGCCGAAACATCGAAATAAACCACGTTGGGACCGCTCATGGAGGATCTACTTAACTATACGCAACGCTACGGCCACTCAACCACCATGCCTGCCTATACGTATATATATATATATATATATATATATATATATATATATATATATATATATATATATATATATATGACAAAGCAGGCGTTGAAATAAAGACGAACTGGAACTGGACAGGGGTAGGCCGGCGACGTAGCACGTGGGCAGGATAGCCGCTGGTCATTAAGGGTAACTGATCGGATTATCAGAGAAGCAAACACATGAAGGGGAGACAGAAACTTAGGTGGACCGATGGGATTAACCCGTTCACAATTATTACATGACAGCAAAATACAGAAGACTGGGTTGCTTGTTGCTTGACACAGATCACGCGAGAGGCCTATGCCCTGCAGTGGTCGTGAGCAGGCTGATGATATATATATATATTATATATATATATATATATATATATATATATATATATATATATATATATATATATATACTTGCTTGTTTTCAAACACGCTACACGCTAATTTTCAGTGTGATCGCGCGTGTATGCGTGGACAAGTCGCGACCTCCCATGGCGGCCCCGCAGCAATGACCGAGTGGGCCATGCGCTAATTCACCGATTGCGGATAAACTGGCGGTTAAGAGGGATGTTTGAGCTTGTATGGTCATTTCTCGACACAAGAGAAAGCAATTTTCTAGCTGGATTTCAGAACTCATTCCAGGCCGCATTTCGTGCTATAATAGTTGGCTCGCGTGAACGCGGGAGCTCTGGCTACCGATGGGCAGCGTCTCCTGACCACGACGAAAAAGGGTTGTGGGGCCCCTTTCACGCTCAGTAGCAGAAATTTGCTCAATGCAAAAGTTTACGAAACCGTTATGTTAGGCGCGTCACGGAGGAAGAGTGGTTAGGTATGGTGCTCAGCGGCTGACTCGAAGGTAGCGGTTTCGTTCCCGGCAGAATGCTTTGAAACACAAAGGAAGAACGTTTAAGGGCGAAACTCCTTATAGCGGCACCCGTTCGTCCCCCGTAGTATGTAACAAGTATAATATTTTGACCTCCAAGGTGGTGCCGGTGAGAGACTTCTTCTATGCGTTGTTGAACAATAAAAAATAGTGCTCAATGTACATGTAAATGGCTGATAATAGGGAATGAGAGACAGGAGCATTCGGCTTTTAGTTAACGCGCAGGCTGCGATCACCATTAGCAGCCATTGGCATGTACATTGAGCACTATCTGACAAGAAAGGGTTGCTACGTTATACTCGCTGGGTGTAACCTCCTTAGCTTTAGAAAGGTTTAGCGAGCGTTGAGCCGCAGTGCCATGAATACAATGAACTTGTATATACCATGAATGAACTCGAGGTGGTTAAAAATGGGAAGTAGATACGAAGCGCAAGTCGTAAGAAAGTAAAAGCCGAATTCTCCGCCTCTCATTTCCCATTAGCAGCCATTGGCATGTACATTGAGCACTATCTGACTGAAAAAGTTTGCTACGTCATACTCGCTGGGCGTAACCTCCTTGGTTTTCGAAAGGTTTAGCGAGCGTTCGGCCGCAGTGCCATGAATACAGTGAACTAGTATATACCATGAACTCGAGGTGGTTAAAGGTGGGAAGTGGACCCGAAGCGCAAGCCGTAAGAAAGTGTGCATGTGCCACCTCTCGTTTAGTCCTTGGAATGTCCGCTGGATGGCGGTGCTTCTATATGGGGAATATATGATGAAAAGATGCGAGATGGTGGTACTTGGAGTGTTGAATAGATGGACGAACGGACACATAGACAGATGCATGGATGGACGCATGAACGGACGCAGGGGCGGCTGCATGGACGAACGCAGGGACGGACGCACGAACAGACGCACGCACGGACGGGCTGATGGACGCATGGACGGTCACACTGACGGACGCATGGACGGACAGAAGCAAGAACGAATGGACGGACGAATTCTTCACCCCACTCTCCATCATTCACTCCATGGATATGCTGCCATATTTTTAAAGAGGTGCTTGGGACTTGTGTGTTTAAAAAAGTGGTTAACGATTTAGAGTGCTTAGTACTCTACTATGGGAGAGCTGAATGCCGTCCCAAGAATATAAGGCTTGATGTGTGCTTGGAAAAAGTGTTTAACGATTTCGAGTACGTTGTACTCAGCTATGGGAGAGCTGTTACTTTGAAACATTAAATACAGTGCAAGAACAAAACTCGGGAGAAAGCTCGTCACACAAACGCTGATTGCATTCTTCCGGTTCTCTTTGTGACTCCAGTTCTTTCACTGGTTTTTCTTGGACGTGAATGGACATGAGGCAAAACAAAACTAACATCTCCTATTTATGTGTCATTCAATCACACAGTGATTAAATCCGTTAATCTGAACTCACCAATTGATCCCGCTGGAGCGTCGAATTCCGCCCTGAAGGCAGTCTGCAAGCAGTACTGCCGCTGTACAGAAAAGCCTTTCCGTTCGAGGAACTCGCACAGTTTGTCGTGAGCCAAGACTTCTTCCAATGCCAACTCGGGGTTCTCGAACAAGAAACGACTCAGCTCCCAGAGTTCTTTCGAATGGTCCTCCACCACAGTGTTCACTGTGGGGGCGAAATCGGTGGCAGACATGCCTATTTAGATGTCCAAGAATAGGCAAGACAGACTGGCCAAGTCTGAATTTTAGTTTTCTGAATCTGCGGTTTGATATCCCTTACGACCGCACGCTATTGGATGCACTATATGAGGGATTTGGGCACTTAAGTCGTACAGAGCTTTCTGTAGTCTATTTTAGTTTGCCCTTGAGTCTGACTGATTTTATAAGGAACAAAGAAAAAGGTACTTTGTGCCCGTGATTTCTACAACTTCCTCTCTCTTTGTGCACGTCAGTTTCCGGGCACAAGCGATGGATATAATGTCGATGGTGCCAGATCACACAAAATAAAACAAAGATTTAACTCGAATCCTGAATGCACAGCTGTTCTCGGATGACAAGTCCCCAGTGCCAGTGCTGCACTGACAGGCAAAATTTACTATAAATCGCTGAAAACAGGATGAGACCCCAATTATTTCGCGCACGTCGGAACAGACCTAGACACCAAAATTGAGACACATTTTTTCTCCACACGTACTTCACTGGTTTGCCGGCACACAGACCTATGTGATTTAAGGAGTTATTGTGTGGCGGCAGAAACACGGGAGCCGTGTATGAGGAATGCTGTCGTTAGAGGCTCAACAACAATTTAACCATCTCCTCAAGGGATCCACTCAAAGAGATTAACATGACAATTTTATTCGACCTGCATTTCAATCAAACTGCTTTGCTCAGGAGCCAAAGCTATGAACCATTGTTACAGTAGAAGCCAAGTGGATAACCGCGGCCGTAAAATTCTCTGAAATGAAAAAATAAAAGACCAAGACCTAGTTTTCACTACAAGGAGTGATATACGCTTACCGCGGGTTATGTATTGGGCTCCCTAACTTTAAGCACAATAACAGTAGCGTGGCATAATAAGTTTTAAAGCTTAAAAATTACACAAAGGCAACTGCACAAAGATGACTCGTTCAAATATGACTTCTAATAAACTGCACGCGATCATCATTCAGCGAGACAATTTTCTGCAGACTTTTTAAACAAACTGCCAGACAGAAGAACGGACGATTCAAGGTTTGCCGATAAAAACCCTCCGGAGCTTCGCCCCATTCATCATCATTCACTCCGTGAATATGCGGTATTTTTTTTAAATGCGAAGCATTTCTTAGTGAACTTCGGCGACTTTGAGCGTATCTATCTATATATCTAGCCGCTTACGTTTGGGTGCTCTCATGGTCACCCCGTTAACATGGCGTTAACCAGAATTAGCATGGAAGGGTAAGATGTTTTGACGAATACAATGCGCTGCTCAATACATGAATAATGTCACAATCCCGTCGCGTACGTCATCAGACATTCTCGCCAAACAGTGACACATACCCACGGGCGGGTTTGTGCTGCTGGTATGCGGGTATGTGCCACAGGTGATTGACACTTAGTATGTACCTAGGATCGATGAGAACACACATAGGCAATTATAACGCTCGAGCGTTAATAAATTCATAAAATTGGTAGCGTGGACCCGACGAATGCAAAGAATAAATGTGAGAGTCCCAGATGGAATCGAACTGAAGCATTCTGTGTGACAATGAAACATTTTACCACGCAGCTACGCCAGGTCTTAGAACTATTTTCATATATATAGACGCTAATCTTTCTGAAACGTCAACAGTGGTTGCAGTGCTGCCTACCCAATTTTATAAACATTACATATGTACTACTTTGACATAGCTGTCACGTCGGGTTAACGTCAATTGTGCTTAGTTGCCATGCGCTGAAGTTGATTGATGTAGCAGTGTCCAGGGCCAGCATTTTCCCGAGCATCAGCGCTTCATCTCAGCTTCTGGTGTCGCTAATATGCATGTTCCAGTTGGCATCGTTGCGCAAGTGCAAACTGGTTATATAATCATCTGAACTTCTTCATATATCTGTGCGTGCAACATTTGTACATATTGCCGCATTCAACCTGCAGAGGAGAGCTCGCACAGCCAGAGAGGAAGACGAAGCTTTTGCCCGGTCCTCTTTACGAGCGCCTTTCATTAAGTAATACCGACCTTCAATCATTATACCAGAGTCTACAAAATTATCTCAATATGATAGAAAGATGGCTTAAAAATATTCATATGACCCTGAACGTAAAGAAAAGTGTGCTCCTTGCATTCTCTTTTCTGCAGCCTATCAACATCTCGTTAATGTACAGTAATGAGCTCATTCCGCAGGCGAATTCCCTTAAATATTTGGGCATCATATATAATGACACATTAAATTGGAGAAGTCACATTGATGATGTGTACTCCAAGGCAACACGGGTCATGGGGTGGCTACGGAAGCTTGCAAACCGTAAAGCGGGTTTAAGAAGAGATGTGCTAATAATGATATATAAACTTTATGTGCGGCCCATCATGGAATTCGGATGTGTATTGTTTTCTGGCAGCGCAGCCTATAAAATGAGACCCCTAATACTGCTGGAAAGAGAAGCGTTGCGTTTGTGTCTGGGTCTACCAAAGTTTGTTGCAAATAACGTGTTGTATATGGAAGCTCGCCTACCTTCTCTGCTAAATAGGTTTAAAATTCTTACTGTGCAAGCATTCTTAAAGATATACAGTTCACACCGAAGACTCTCATTTTACGCTTTCATTCAAGAACCGACTTTATTTTTCGAAACCCATTGGTCGCGACTACACACCCCGCAAATAGTATTTGCACAAGCGCTACTAAAGCAACTGAATGTAAAAATTAGACATATTGGTCCAATACACAACCTAAAGTCAATGCTTAGCATACAATTCGATGATATATTTCCTCATAACGCGAAACAATTGGCATATAGGTATTTAAATGACCAGTTAGCAGATTATCTAGCCCACCTAGAGATAAGCAATATCATAGCGACTGATGCATCTGTGTCAAAAGAAAAGGCTGGGGTTGGCATCTTCTCTCCTTCTTTGGACTGGTCCTTTTCGATTCGACTCCAAGATTATACCCCGGTATTCATGGCAGAATTATTGGCCATTGTTCTTGCCCTACGCAAATTACCCTCAAGCGAATCATTAGCAGTTATCATTACAGATTCGTTATCAGTTTGTAATGCACTTTCTGCGGCAGTAAATTCAGAGCTGATGAATACGTTTCGGCATTTAGTACCGAAAAACGTAAAAAAAACTGCATTTGCTATGGGTACCAGGCCACCGCGGATTATATTTGAACGAAATGGCGGACTCTTTAGCAGCAGTATCCCTGGGTGGGCCCACCATCCCAGTTTTGCCAGATACGGCTTACGTAACCGCGCTAAGGTTCCGAAATGCTTGCCTGCAATGGGGAAAAGGTAATTTGGATAAATTCAAAGATTTCGAGCATTTGAGCTATTGCTTGAATAAACAGTGGTGTGTATCTCGCCAGTTAGAGGTCACTTATACCAGATTGCGCTGTGCAGTTCCACAACTAAATTATTACCTTAATAAAGCTCAGCTCAAGGCGTCACCGCTATGCATTTGGTGCAACGAAATTGAAACAATTGAACATTTCTTTTTATTCTGTCATCGTTATTCTTATCAGAGAAAAAGATTTTTAGTAGCCCCATTACAAAAGCTAGGAATACAAGTAAATTTACCAGTAATTTTATCACTTGGCGGAACTTCATTTGGTTACTGCCACAGGGATGTATGCTCCGCTGTGTTTGATTACATCAACGCAACTAAAAGATTACCATGCTAGTGAACTACTACCTTTTCAGATCTTTAGTTTATAATTCGTAGTTATGTCTTTCAAAAACAAAAGATGGTTTGACCGCTTGCTCAGCACACATTTTTGTTTTTTGGTAGTATTATTTTAAGCTACTTTTTCAGATTGGCTTCATTTTCAGTTTAGTTTCATTTAAGTATCCTGCCGCCCGGTTCTTGGCCAATCCCCCTTTGTGGGTAAGCGCCATCCATCAGAGGTCATCAGCATCAGCATCAGCATCATTTTTAATTAAAGTGAGCTCTTCTATATCGGACTCCTGCTGTGTCTGCGTCGTGACACTGGTGGAGGAGCTGGGTACATGTCCAGGACACCTTCCAACAGCCCGGGATCTAGTCCACATAGACTTCCGCTCGTCGAAACACCCGTTCACCGCGCCAGCCGCCGCCTGTTAGGCCTGAGCCCAGAGTTCGGTCCTCGGACGGAAAACATGACCGCGCCGGGAAGCAGTTGCCCAACCATGACGAGCCCAAGCACGACACAGGTGACTGTTTTCACCCTTAAAAATCCTGTGGACTTCCATGGCAACACATATGAGGACGCAGATGACTGGCTTGAGGAGTTCGAGCGCACAGCCAACGTTAACGGATGGAACGCCGCACAGAAGTTGGGGTACGTGTATTGTGTGCTTAGAAAAAGTGTTTAACGATTTAGAGTACATCGTACTCTACTATGGGAGAGCATAATGCCGTCCCGATTTCCCAGCGCTGTTGTATTTCCCTCTTCAAGACGGGGCTCGCACGTGGTTCACGAATCGCGTGTGGTCAACGTGGGACGAGTTCCGGCGGAAGTTCCTGGACACCTTCGCAAACACCGAAAGGCGGGAGCATACACAACGACTCCTCGAATCATGGTTTCAAAAGCCCAACGAGTCTGTTGCTATGTTTGTTGAGGACATGGCTCGTCTCTTTCATCGAGCCGATCCCGATATGTCCGAGAACAGAAAGATCAGCCACCTCATGCGTGGTGTTAAAGAGCAGCTGTTTGCTGGTCTCGTACGGAACCCACCTTCAAGCGTCGGCGAATTTTCGAAGGAGGCGACCACCATCGAAAGCGCGCTACAGCTACGGTACCGCCAGTACGACCGTCCAAACAACAGCGGAAAAATCAGCGCAACGCCGTGACCACTGTGACACCTGACGAGCGTTCTTTGCGTGACCTGATACGCGAAACTGTGCAAGAGAGGTGAAGAAGCTCGCCGCCACACCGAATGACTGCGCGATTGCGTCGGTCACAGAAGTTGTTCTCCAAGAAATAAGGCAAGCGCGTTCACTTCCCGAGCCGAACACTGAAATAGTTAGGCCAACATATGCAGATACTCTGCGTCGACAGCCTAGATCTAACGTGCCGCCACCTCAGCAGTACCACCAGCAACA